TGTTACCTGCTTGTGTTTTCTTTGGGGTTTTTATGTTTATATTTCTGAGGGATATTGAGCTGTAATTTTATTTTCTTGTAGCTTCTTCTTCTGACTTTGGTATAAGGGAAGTGTTGGTTTCATAAAATTAGTGGGCCAATAAGTATAATGAATGAATGATATGCAGTATTACTAGCTATGAGGGAAATACAAATCAAAACCAAAATTAGATCACACTTCACACCTGCTAGGATAGATAGAATAAAAAGGACTGGGCATTGCTAGAGAAGGAAAGATCTAAAAAAAGATCTATTGGCCTTAGCTTTGCCTCTCACTCCAGTGGGGCTCTGGAATCACCTCCAGCCACTGGCCCCAACTGTCCACTCACACATTTAATGAGCATCCATGGGATACCCACTGCATTTGCTCTGCACTGTCTACTTGCCAGCCATAGTTGGGGGCAAACGGTATCCGAGGATAAACAAGGATGGCTTATGATTTAGGAGCCTGTAACTTAATGAAGGTGGTGAAAATAAAACAATAACTTATGATTCAATGTAATACATATTATAATAGAGGTATTGCAGAGAGAGCATATAGCAGAAGTGATTGATTTTGCCATGGGTTGGGTCAGAGATGTGGTCATGATGTTTTTCTGAAGGATGTGATATTTGAAGGGTGGGTTGGTCAGAGTTGGATAGTCCAAGCAAAACTAACAGGTTGATAGAATAAATAGCAGATACTGACCCTTCATCATGGACTAGAGAGAAACAACCAGTGTCAGCATTCCAGCACCTGCCAGGGAAATGTCAGCCCTGATACAGTCAGAGATGCCATCCAGCGACCTGACTGCAGACCCTGTGCTCTAAGACATTCTATACTATGACTACGATACAGCTGGAACTGTTGACTGAGAATAAAATATGAATAGCTTTGTCTACATGCGGTAAGAAGCCATGGACATTATGAGAGAGGGGAAGTAACAGGGGGCAAATATACTTATGTTTTAGAAAGATAAAATGTAGAAGCCAAAGAATTTATATGTATGACCCAAGGACATGAACTAAAAGGGGTGTGCAGGATGGAGGGGAATAAAGGGGGGAACATGGGACAACTGTAATAGTATAATCAATAAAATATATTTTTTAAAAGATAAAAATGACCTCCTAAATCTTTCCTTCACTCCTTATCTGAGATTTAATGTAAGAATACACTCCCAATTCAGCAAGTAAAAGTACAGACTACCCAGTTAAATTTCAATTTCAGCTAAACAACAAACATTTTTAAAAGAGAAATATGTCCTATAAAATATTTGGGACATACTTTTACAAAAATAATTATTCGCTGTATATCTGAAATTCAAATTTAATCGAGCATCTTGTATTCATTCTGCAGCCTTGTGTCCAGTTCACTTCCTTCCAAGGATTAAGAAGGCCTCCCTACCCTGCACATCTGATACATCAAATTGAGCTAAAACAGAGGTCATGGTGTGGGCAACGAGAAATCTAGAGATAATGGGAAAGACAGAGGAGACATAGACTAATCTGTGGACAAACAGGCCTGACTGCAGCGTTCTTTGTGTGGCCCAGGCTTTTTGCCAGGAGCTGTCTGTACTCAGCATGTGCCCACACAACATAATGTAATAGTTAAGAGCACACACTTTAAAGTCACATGCCCTTAAGTTCAATTCCCTGCTCTAATTCAAACATGACTTGTAACCCATGAAAAATTACTTAACCTCTCTGAACATAAATTTCTTTATATAAAATTAGGATAATTATGGCCACCTCCCAACAGCTTTATTGTTATGTTGCATCTAGTCTGGTACCTGGCAACAATTAACAACATTAGCCTATTATTGTTATTATTATTAAGAGTCCTAGTTCTGCTGGCATGGCTGTCATTCCCTCCTCTGGGTCAACCCAAGGTAGACAGATAGGATTGGATAGGACAGAACAGAACAGAGTAAGCCCACCATTTATTTTTTACTTAGCATGTACAAGGTACTGTGCTGTTTGCATGTATTTTGTGAACCAATCTTTATATCACCTCTGAGAGACAGCATATTCCCATTTTTCAGACATCGGATCCAAGGCATAAAGAAATTAGAAAATATTTCTAAGGTCACAGGGTCACACAACTTGTGTGTGGCAAAACTGCAACAAAAAGCCAGTCCTATCTGATCCCAACGCCCAAGTTTTTAACCATGACACACACATCAGAATGTCTCTATGCCATTTCCACCCAGACTGAAGCTCCTTCCTACCCCAGGAAAGAACTCTGATCGGACTTTCAGTTATGCATGGAGATGTCCACAAGAATTAAAGCATTCTTTTTGCCTTTTATTCTTGTGTCTTCTTACTAAATTAGAGTGGCATTCTGGGAGAAGGTCCTCATCTTCCTCTCCCCAGCTTGGGTAAGATCATTTTTCTTAATCTACTTTTCCCTCTACTTTAAGTCAAATTCATTTGCTTATGCCAATGGAGGGTAAGTCACAGCTTCTTAACTTCTATTAATAGTGCAGATAAATAAGCATGAAATTATACTATGTCCCAATTTTACAGATGAGGAAACTGAGACTTAGAGTGGTATCAATCACTTGCCAGGGTCACACAGATAATAACTGTGGGAACTACCATATTACCTGAGTCCAGGCTTCTCTTCTCAAAATCATTTTGCACGTATAAAGTGCTGTCTTAAAAAACAAGAGCTGTCTCCATGAATGACATAGACCAGAATCCCTCCATCCTGGAATCTGATATCTCTTGGAAAGGGAGACATTAAATAGTCAAACAAAAAAATAATATTTAAATCCCAGTAAGGAAGAATACAGAGAGTAAAAAAGATTATAATACAGGGATCTGAGTTGGATTAGTGGGTTACAGAAGTTTTCACTAAAGGAGAGATACTATAGCCAAAACAGAAAGCTAAAAGTAATAAACCAAGGAGCAAGAAGAAAATACAGCAGAGAAAACCGAATACCCAGCCCGGCCAGTGTTTAACCAGGTCACACAGGGAGGGAGTCATGCAGCACTGACAGGAATAGAAACCAGTTACCCCTACCCTCGGGCTGGTGCTATTTCCTTGATGCCAGACCACCTAATGCACCTGCTTCATGCCCCTTTTAGCTGATGTCTTTGAGAAGCCACCAGGCCTCTCTCTTAGGTTGCAGTATACAGAGCTTTTGCCTGCCTATGCAGTGTTCGTATAGTGAATTAGGAAATATGCCCCCTCTAGGCTGGTTAAACCCTGAGGGCTCAAAGCTTGTGCAAAGTAAGAGGTCTTGCTACCCTTTCCCAAGTGAGTAAAGCCACAGGTCGTCAAGGTCCATGGCTAATAGAGAACCTGTGAATGTTATTTCTCCACTAGCCCCTTGGACATGCCCAGTGCTCAGGTCTAAGCAGTGATTTTAGTGGCATCATTCTAACTCTGCAAACTCCCCACCGTGGACCACTATCTCTAGGTCACAACTCTTCAGTAAAGACAGGATCAGTGCCTTCTTGAGAGGATAAAATGGAGAAACATGGAAGGATCCAAGCAGAGCTGTTTGACGGCTTTTGAGTGCAGTTTGGTGCCCTGTAAAGAGTATGAAACCGGGAGAAAGAGGGCCATGTCCTCCCATGGGCTCTGTGACACTAGACAAACTTCCTTTTTCTAAACCTCAGATAATTCACCATTTATTAGAAGGGCCCTCTGGCAGTCACAACATATAAGCTTTGGTCAAACTGTAAGCTTAGGAAGCCCCAAGTCCTCATCTCAAAGAACCAAACTTACAGCATTCCTCAGGATAGCCAGTATCATCTAGACTTGAAACAAATGTTATCCCCTTAAGCATTTATATCCAAAAGGAAGGATGTTTTACATCTGAAATACATGGCAGCATTTTAAATCCAATATTTCTTTTCATTGTGTGAAATCATTTTATTATCACTTTTAATGTTTGCTATATGCCTCAAGTAATGTGCATTCAACTCTGGTAAAGATAACCTTGCCCTCAAGGAGCCTCCAGCCTATTGGCAGAGACATATAATCAGGCACCTATTAGATACAGGAGAGAAACACCCAGTTCTTTTTGGAAAAACCAGAAGAAGCTTCCCAAGGAAGTCAAAGCTGAGGCCAGTGCCCAGAACAATATTAGGCTTCTTGAGGGTTGTGGAGTGAATAAAACATTCTGAACTTAAGAGATCCAGAGGCTAGCCCTGGCTGGTGTGGCTCAGTGGACTGAGCATTGGCCTGCGGACCAAAGGGTCACTGGTTGGATTCCCAGTCAGAGCACATGCCTGGGTTGCAGGCCAGGTCCCCCCAGAAGGGGGCATGCAAGAAACACATTGATGTTTCTCTCCTTCTTTTTCTCCCTCCCTCCCCCTCTGTCTAAAACAAACAAACAAACGATTAAAAACACAGAGAGATCCAGAGGCTAGAAGAGAACTATTAAAGTACTGAGTTCTCAAACATTAGTCCAAGCATTTTTGCAACAGATGATGGAGCAAGTAACTCTGTGGAGTAGGGTGGAAGAGTCATCACAAAGGTTCACAGAGAAGGGAGCATTGGAACCTGAGCCTGAGGAATAGCAGGTATACTGCAAGGGGAGATGAAGGGGAAGATACTGCAAGAAAAATAAAGAGCATGAACAAAGGCATGGGGGTGGCATGAGGGTGTGAATGGGAATGCTCAGGTGAGGACAAGTAATTAGCTCAGAGCATGAGGATGGGAGGGACTAGGCACACCTGCCAATCTTATTTACTACTTGCTTGTTGGCACTGCATAATAGTTCTGTCTGATACCCATCTAATTGTCAATGCTGGCATGGGAACTACCTCCAAAAGAGTTACTGCAGTGTCACTTTATACATACACATTAGAAAAACCAAGAAGTCTTCTCTTTCCCCATAGGAAAAACTAGGTTTGAAAGATAGGGCAGGACTCATCAGATCCAAGAACAAGCGGTGTAGAAATCTTGTGCAACATCGTAAATTCCGTAGCAGATGATGTCACCTGCAAATGCCCTATAAATGGAGCAAGGCAACAGGTGCTTTGGGACACTTTCTACCAATGCCCAGTGCTACAAACATGGCTGTCTCAGTGCTTCGGGTGACAATTGTCCTGGGACTGCTTGCCTTAATCCTGACTTGCCATGCCGGTAAGTGTTTCCGGTCGCAGCTCTGGCAGTGTGCAGTAGTTAGCTCTGGTCAGAGGAAGCTGGCTGACGGCACTGATCCAGAACCTGAAGGGCGAGAGGGGGAGGGGCCTTTGGGCACTGGCCTAGGAGTCCAGAGGCAGCTCTTCCAACACAGAAAATGCAGGATTTCTACTCAATGTGCTTCAGTTACATCCTCCATCCTTAGTGAACGTGTGAAGTATGAAATGATTTCTTCCTTATGTATTCTGTGATATAATGACACTATTATATTATCAGAGAGCCAAGAGTGTTTGTTTTTGGATAGTTATAACTGATAATGTTCAAAGGTGAAGAATATGTACTCTGGAATAAGACTCCTAGGCCTGACTTCACAACTAATCAGAAATGTGACTTCAGGCATTTTATTTAACTTCTCTGGGCCTCACATGTGAAATAAAATGTCAACAGTTAGCTTTCTCATAAATTTATCACGAAAAATTAAATAAAAGAGACAAAAAATTAGAAAACTACTTGGTCCGTAACAAGCACCAATAAATATTAACTGTTATTGTTATTGTGCATTATCATTTAATTCTCATAATAATCCTGTTCTGCACACATGTAGTTTTATTATTTTCCAGTTTGTGGGTTAATAAACCACACTTGCAAAGGGAAAGTTACTTGAGTGGAGACACTGGTAGTGGTGACACACCTCGGACTAAAACTGAAGTCCCTTGGTTGTTTCTGTCATAAATAAGTATCTACTTTCATGCCTGTTTCCAGCACACAGAGGACCACAAGGCAGCATGCAGAATTCTCAATAATTCATTCCTTTTTGGTCTGTAGAAGCCAGTGAGCTCTTGACTTGTCTCTATTCAGAATGACAGGTCAGAAAACACAGACAGTGCACATACTGCCCTTGAAACTGTTTTAAATGTAATGTGGCAGAACTCACCCTCAGCCACCCACTGTGCACCAGCACAGCACATAGGCCCACACCACAACAGAACAACAGAGGTGGCCTTAGAGACTACTGCGTCCATCCACTCCTACAGGAATCACCCTGGTGGAGTGAGAGGTGAGACTGACATCCTAAAGATCAGTCCCAGCTCTGTCTCTCGTGAACTCTGGGTAAATCAGTTCACTGCTTGGAACCTCAGTTTCTTCATCTGTAAAATGGGATAACTATAAATTTCACCAGATCAGATGAATATGCTTTTGTAATCACTTGTAGATTATAAAAACTATACCAGTATCAGCATTACTGCATTTTTTAAGAACTTTATGATTATGTTGATTGTGAAACTCAACCAAGTAGCTAATGTAAAAAAGAGTTATCCCAAATTTGAAAAGAGAAAATATTCAACTATTGGCTTTGATCACTAGTTTCTAGTAAATCACATTTCTTAATTTTATTATTATTTATTTTTGTTTTCTAACATTTTCAAATTTCTTAATATTTTAACATTTTTTAATTTTCATGATCTCCAAAAGCACTAGAGAAGAGGGCTACTATGAATTGTTTGTTATTATTTTAATAATAGTAGTAATAACACTGCAGTCATTTATTGTGGGCTTACTTTGAGTCTGGTATTATGATAAGTGGTATATATAAGAAATGATATGTATACATATATGATATATATGAATGATATATGAAACACCTTTTGATCCTAAAAACATGATGAGGAATTGAAAGTATGTCAAGCATTGTATGCAAGGTTACATGGGTAATCTTTTGAACACATGAAGTATGTAGGACTCCAAAACATATGATCCACCAGACCCTAATCTACTCAATATATACATGGTCCAAGGACTGGGGACCAAGGATCTGATCTTCACACACTCCAATCCAGAGCTCCTTTGCATGTAGTGTTATATTTAAAAAACAAAGTCAAGTAGGCAGGAACACACAAAAAAATTCAGTTTTTATGCAAGGAACCTCTGTTTTCTGCCTGGTAAATATCTTCAGGGGATAATTGCTTGAAAGTATTATTATATGTAAATAACAAGGTCTGTGGAGTTAAAAAAAAACAGGTTAAAACCTGGCTCAGCCACTTTCTAGATGTGTGTTTGCAGGTGAGCCATATAACTTTTCTGCAAGTCTTGTTTCTCTCCTGTAAAACTGCAGTACCGTCATCGAGTTGTGTAAGGGTGAAGGCATGCTACGGAAGCACAGTCCCAGTATCTGGCCAAGAGGCCCAGCATCACAAATACGCCCTCTCTTTGCTCCCCCTTCCCATGAAAAAAAAAAAACTATTCTGGTCTCTGTGGTCACGCTGCACTTTACAGTGTAGGCTCATTTCCATATACGGCTGTTTTTACCTTAACTCTTAGCATATGCTATGTACATGATAGTAGGCTCAGAATTTAAAAAAAGCTTGTTGAATGAAAAAAAAACCAACAACTGAATGAATGAACACTTGGTGATTAGTACATTAATTCTGGTTATATATCCTAGACTGCTGTTTCTATCAAATCTTTTGTTGTGGCATAGTAAGCAATAAATGTTTGTAGTACTAAAGGCCATATCTTTTTACTAAGAGTTTCTATTTTAGAGTATAATATAGATGTAAGACTTCTAACATAAAGTGACTACCTCCACACAAAAACCTAGTTATACCTTTTCCATTTAGAGTCCTGGGTACATTCCCTAGAAGCAGGAACTTCTTAAGTCAAAACTTGTGGGATTGCAGATAAAATATAGGGCATTCAATTAAATTTGAGTTTTGGACAAACTATGAGTAATTGTTTAGTTTGAGTATGCTCTAAATATTGCATGGGTCATTCTTATGTGGAAAACTATTGCTTATCTGAAATTCAGCTTTAACTGGGTCTCCTGTGTTTTTATTTACAAAATCCAGCAGCACTACTTGCAAGGCTATAATGAAATAAAATGACAAAGATCCTACTCCATCCTGGCACCAGGGTTGAGTGGGGAGGCCGCAGGTGGCTGCTAATTGCTCCTCTTTCATTCCGTCTGATCTCCTGAATCATTAGACCACTAAGTAAAGCAGGGCCCCCCACACAAGAGAACTTGCATGCCAGCAACCTCCAGCCTCATTCACTGGATCCTTGGCCTCATTCTAAAGGAGCCAAGACTCTTGATTAAGACTCAAGAGTAAGAGGTCTCCAGTTACAGTTGCATCTTCTCTTGCTATTGGTGAATCTTCTTCAAGTCACCTAATCTTTTCAACTTCTTAGTTTAGTGAGCAAAAATATACACACCCCAGGGTATGTGGTCAACAAATGCTACTCATGATTATTTCATCTTCATTATTATCATTACCATGGGCCCAGGGATCACATGGAGAAAGAGACCATGCTATTGAAATGAAACCAGACATTCTGCATGTTAATCCTGGCACTGGCATTTAAGGCTTCTTAACTCTGACCAAGTGACTTAGCCTCCATGAGCTTCAGTTTTCTCCAGGAACGGGAACAACATCTACCAGAGAATCAATGTCTGTTGGTCTGTTTGATTGTTTTCAAGAATAAGTGATATAATGCATGTAAAGACTTTCATTGGGTATGCATTAAATATCGAATAAACCCAACTACATGAGGCTCCTAAGTTAATTAGTGGGGGTACATGGGCACTAGGGGCTCCCTACAAAGAAGAGAGACATTGCATTCTTGTTGCTGAGAATTGCTTCTGAGATTCTGTTGTGTTTTTCAGATGACAAGCCAGACAAGCCAGACAAGCCAGACAACCCAGACAACGAGTCAGATGACTCGGGCAAAATGCCAAAGCCAGATTTCCCCAGATTCCTAAATGTCTTGGGCAGAGAGATCATTGAGGATGCGGTGTCACTCTTCCTCGGCTCCGTGATAAAGCGCAAGTAAGTACTGAGATAAGCCTTGCCTGTGTCTAGTTCACTGTTGGTAATGACCACATTGCACTAAAATGAATGAGAATCAAATTCGTGGTGCATGCCAATGTATTATTTTAATCGAAAAGTGTGCCCTTAAGTCTTATTTCCCTGAACTCTTTGGGGTGAGCATATTCCCATCAGGCAGTTCTGTAAAATATTTTTATCTCAGGACCCAGTAAGGAGGAGGAAGAGCACCAGCCAGGAGCCAGGGAGCCAGGTTCTGGTCTGCGCACAGGTGCTCCCTCACTGGGTGATCTCGGGCAAGGCGCTCCCTCTCTGTGGGCCTCAGTTTGCTTATCTTTAGAGTTAGAGGAATAAAGTACCCATCCAGTGCAGACCCTGTAATTCTTTGGTGAAGGTGGTAGGTAATGGTGTGTTCAACAGCTACAGTTGTGATGAGTCCTGCCTGTAATTGAAGTAACCCAAAAGGGTTAGAGATGGTTGCTAATCTGTCCTCACAGACAATCTATGTGAGTGTTTTGATCATGAGGAATTTTCCTTGGTGGCAGATCACACATCTTTCCAATGTTCTCTACCTGCTTCCAAGCCCCTGGGCGCAACTGCTAGTGCATCTTACTCCAGTCTACATAGCTCTGATTTCTACTCTGCTTTGCACTGTTCATTCTCTCCATATTACTCTCCCTGACTTCAGCTCTCCGGGATCCAGTTCATTCTGAATTTCCAGGTACTTTCAACCTCCACCTCTCTGAGCCTCTGCTCTCCAGTCCTCTCCTTCACAACCCCCTGAGCAGAGTTTGGAAAAGTGTGCTGTTATTCACCTGCTTCAGAATTCCCTGGAGAAATTACACAAAATGCAGTCTCCTTTATTCCATCTTGCACCTTCCTGGGACAAAGCTAAGGATATGCTTTTTAACAAGCTTTCAGGGGGTTCTGATGATTCTGCTATACAATAGATGTTGAAAGCCTTTGATTATATGTTCTGAGCCACATGGCTGGGTGTGAAGGAGTTGCATAGCCTTTACATTTTTATTCATATTTTGTGTAAATGTGACTATTTGCATTTTCTAGGAAAATGCTTCTAACTTTTACTAGCTCCTCAAATGGGGTCTATGACCAATAACAGACTAAGAACCACTGCTGTGTACAGAAGTAACCAGGGGTCATTCTGTAATCTCTGATCTGCTTAAATAAATATAGTACCATGTGAATGGGCAGAATTCTGCATGCAGCCCTCACGCACAAATGTTGAAGCTTACAGATGTTTATTTTTATATTGTTATTTTTCTATTGTGGCTGCTTTTGCAACTGGCATGTCCCCATAATTGTTAATGCAAACAAGGAGGGGACTTAAAAGCAAACAATAGGAGTAGTAACCATGATGTACAAAGTACAGATTAGATTTGAGTTACAGTCATATTGCTATAAATCACAACAATAGCATTGTAGGCGGTTGGAACTATTCTAGTTCTTTTTATTCCTCCCCTGGGGAATTCCCCAGATATAAAATAACACTTTTTCTTCTATTAACCCTGAAAGTTGACTATCTAACATACTAAAAGATTGCAGTCAGCTCTGGGTTCAGAAATGGCACTTCATCTTCTACCATTTTATTTCTTTCATTATATTCTAAATAAATAATGTTCTTTCTGTTCCCGGAACTCACAGACATTTGAGGCCTCCTGTCATTGCTTTCATTTCTGCCTAAAACTTTTCTCATGGCTAGTTCTTCGTCCTGAAGCTTACCTAAGAGTCAATTCCTCAGAAAACTACTCTATAATGACTCTTATTAACACTGTCTTCTTTCGTTCCTTGGTTCTTCCCCATCACTTTACCTTGTCGTAGTGTCATAATCACAGGTATCACCATCTCAAATAATTTATTTATTTTTAATATAAAATATTAAATATTTTTAACATGGAAGTAGGGATCAACTCTATCTAGCTCATTGCTATAGCACAGTACCTTATATCAGGTACTCAGTAAATAGTTGTTAAATTAATTAAGGGAAATTATCTTAGAGATCAGATCTAAAGCCCATCTGTGCCAATTCGACTGAGGAATCCTGAGGGAACTTTGTTAAAAGAATAGCAGTCCTTGCTCAAGGTAATAAATCTAGCTGTCCCCCCTCTCTCCAAGGGATGACCATAAATATAATGGGAAATGGAGAATGAGAGGAGACCATCAAGATGTATTCCTAAGCACTTAATACATACAAAGTAGGGGCAGGGATTGTGAAGGGAAAATCTAGACCATAAGTCTGTCCTCCTCAAAGAATTTGCAGATTTGACAGTAAGATAACATGAGCAGATGTAATGATAATTAAAATGCCAAATAAGATAAATATCAGCCAAATATTATAGGTAATTTCTAGAGGAAAAAAAAACTGTCACTGCAGCCAGAATGCTTAGGGGAGTGGTTTTGGCAAAGGTGAGATGCAATTTGGACCTTCAAGGACTAAATAGATTTGATTAGAGAGAATGACAGGAATGTTGAAACTTCATATAGTGAAAATCCTGCTTTATTTTTCCAACATATCTGGTGCCTAAGTACTGTGTCAAGCACATAATAAAGGCTAGATATTTACTTTTAGGTCAGCGAATAGGCCGGCTTGCTCCCTCCACCTGCTCCCTCTGCCCACCTTCTGGATTATCTTAGAGCAATGTAAACTGGATCCTGGTCCCCTTTGAGAAGCCTTCAATTCTTGTGAATTTCTCCAATCCCTTGGGTTTCCATGACACATTCCTGGTTCTCTCCTTACCTCTAGCCATCCTTTCTCATTCTCTTCGTTTGACTTTTCTTCATGCCTCTGTGCCTTGGACAGCAATCCTCCTCAAGGCTCCAAACGTAGCCTGCCTGCTTTTTCACATCTCAGCGTTCACATTGGGACTACTAGTTGCAATTTAATGAGTTCCAAATTCAAACATCTATTGCACTCCTTTTTCTAAGCTGCAGACTAAGGTGACTAGTTGTTGACTACAAAATCCCACCTAAGTTTTCCATCAACATCTCAAATTCAGCTGTTCTAAATGCAAGCCCAACATCTCAGTACATACCTGTTCCCTGCCCCATGTTCCTTATCTCAGTAAGGTACATCCCTTCTCACCCAAAATCCAGAAACCTTGGGGTCTCCTGGGATGCTGCCTGCTCATCGCCAACTTCACCTAATTCTGAATATTGAAGGGCTAACTTTTTTCCCCATACTATTCCTTTTCTTTAACTCCACTGACTTGTTGGCTAGTCCAGTCCTTCATCATCTTTCCTGCAATCATTTAATTAGATTGGTAGTTAATTCATTTCACTGTTTCTATCCATACTCACTCCCATCCATCCTCAACCTACTCCCAGGGTTATATAACAGAAACACATAGTTGGTTCTATCATTGCCAAGCTTAAACTCCTTTCATGAATTTCCTTTGCCTACAAAATCAGAGCAAACATATTCAGTTGGTGTTAAAGGTTCTTCTCTGAGGCTTATATCCCCTTCAATCATCTCTTTCACTCATGCATCCAAGCACCTGATGTCCTAATAACAATTGATTTCTGTTTCAGAGTGGGTCACATTTGTATAAACTGCCAATATCTTTGAATGTGCTTCTCCCTCTGCCAGCAATGCCTGGCCTGCAATCCCCAACTCTTTTCTCCTCCCCTGACAAGTCTAATGGTTTTCTAAAGTCCAATTCAAAGACAAGCTCTCCAGAGACATCACAGACCTCCACAATTTAAAAACTTAAGGTATTCATGCTCTGGGATTTCATAATGTTTTGTAGAAACCTTCATAGCAGCTTCTTCCCCCATCATTTTAAGTTACTTGTGTCTCAATGCAACTGTTTTCTCCACTGGACTGTAACCTCCTCACAGACCACTTTTAAGTCATCTTTTACCTTCTCAGCAGCTGCCTCGTACCCAATCCTTGAACAGTAGACCACAGTGCTTCTGGCACTAATTCATGATTCTAGAGATCTAAATTTTAGACTTTGCCTTGCAGTTTATCAGCCATATGACTTAGCTTGTTTAATCTCTTTGAACTTCAGAGGTTTTTTTCATATGTAAAAGGAGATAAAATCATTCATTTTTTCATTCAACCGATATTTATTAATTTATACTACGTGCCAGGCATTGTTCTAGGTGCTGGGGATATATTACTGAACAAATATATCAAAATACATGTATATATAAGTATGTATTTGAGTAAACACCTAATTAATAGACTTTTTAAATATTTAAAGAGATAATTATACATAAATGTCTTTTCAGCTATGAACTATTAGGGGAATCTTAGATCTTACTTCTTTCTGACATAGAAAAATCTGGAAAAGTAAAGTACAGTTCAAACATTATAAGACACCCTGGTGCTCATTCTAACATTTCTATTTAGTCTAAATTATAATTAATTTTTTCTCTTTATTTTTTCTTTTCAAGAGATTTTGTGGAATTTGATGCTAAACAAGAACATTCATCAAAGTGACCTCCCAGGTGATTTTAATTAACAATTTACAACTTAATAATAGTCTCCAAGACAAAGAAAAATTGGTCAATCTGACTTTATTCAATAAAGTTGGACACCCATGCCTACCTACAAGCAGAAAAACTGTATTCTTTCTGGTTTTGTTTTGTCCATGCTGGAGTTTTTAAAGATGAATTTTAAATAGATTTTTAATCATGTTAAAAATGAGAATGCCGTAAGGATTAAGGGAGGAGGCACTATTGTGAGTGAAACAAGTAAGCACAGGGAGTGAGGAGACCTGGTTCCTGTCACAGCTCTGCGAGGAACTTGTTTCCTGCACACCCGAGCTGTGAAATGATGGGATGATAAAGTCTAAGGGCCCAGGTGATCAGGCCATCGTCACTCACAAGAAGAGTCAGATTTGCTGAACCTAATTCCAGGAGGAAGGACTGGCACGCTCCCTAATCCCACTGAGTCAGATTTATGTACACACAATATGTTTGGAGGGCTCAAAAATGTTTGCTGTTCTCTTATCCAATTCTGAGAATGGATAGTGAAATATAAACACAGAACTATAGAGCTGGAAAAGAATTATATCAGTATCTAGCATTAACTGAGTACTTACTCCGTTTTAGGCATTAAGCTAAGTGCTATATATATGTGCTACCTACTTTAATGCTAACATCCCTATTTAAAATAGGTATTGTTATCCTTAAATTCTCTAAATAAAAAAGCCAAGACTCAGGGATATTTATGTATTGGCCAAGTTATAAGGGAGGAGGGGAGGATTTGAACCCGAGCAGCCTGGTCCCAGACTCCATGCTTCCTCACTAACCCACAGTGCTAGTGGAGAACAAATGAAAATAATGTAGGTGAAAGCAGTAGAAAACAGTGATTAAGCTGTCTGACTTCAGACATGCCTCAAGGGGCCCATGGAAATAACCACTACACCTCTGGTTAGTTGAGTTATCTCATTGCCATCTCCAGGAGGCATGGTCTTTCCCAAATTCCATTTCATACCTGACCTGGGAACATGTCTCTCCTCTTCTGCTCCATTTCATAATGTGGGTGTGATGAGTGCAAGCTCAGAAAGCCACTATTATGTTATCCCAGAACGTAGCCCCTCCTTTTCCATAAGCTCTGACAGATGGAAATCAGGCTTGGGCCCTGGAATCAAGACATACTTAGCCCTAGCACTCCTGACTCTCACCCCCACGCCACCTAAGCTCCTTTTGCATCTCCCCATTCACATCTTCTCAGGGAACAGCCCAGCTCTTATTGCACGTGCCCTAACCCTTCGCCTTCATTCAGACTGTTGGTACGTACTGCTATCCATTAGTGCCCACCAGCAGAATCCGTGGAGTGCCTTCCTAGAGTTCAGTGTAGGAGGCAATCCAACAGAGAGGCAACATGAAGGAGTTAGGAAGAGCAAAAGGCATAAAGAAGCAGCAAATTCAACTTCTAACTTGGCTACTAACTGGTTACGGGACCATGGGGAGGTCATTTGTCCTCCTTGAGCCTCTCTATACTCCTTATTATTAAAAATGTGAGGGACTTAATTGGTCCAGATCTTAAGGCCAGAATTGTTTTGTTTTTAGCTGCGCCTAAAAAGCTTTGAGTAGATCTGGGAAACAATGGGCCCTGATGGGCAAAGGGAAATGGCTCAATCTAGGGAGGTAAAGAAATTTAGCCTCAGGGCAGGAAGCCTCTACAGCAGAGATTAAATTTTGGATGGTTTAATTACGTGTACCTCCTTAAACCCTGGTGACTGTACATTTAATAAGTAGTTTCAAAAGTGTCCTTTGTGTGATAATTGCCTCATCTAATCAAAAGCAAATCATCACACTAAAAGCAAGTGATTCAGAGAAATACCTGTTTTTCCAGCATAAAACATTTAGCCAAAGTTCTAGATTATTTCCTAAATTTAGATAGATAGATAGATAGATAGATAGATAGATATAATCTCATCTTCCTCCTGCCACCTACGCCTCTTTCTTATACATACATTCCTTTAATGCTTACTTAATCCATGCCTACCATGGGTCATATTCTGCCAGTGCTACCAAGATGAGTAACACAGCTCAGTCATTGAGAAGCTGATAGCTTAGGCCAGAGGTTTTCAACTGGTGTGCCACCAAGAATTTTTCAAACATGCAATACCTGACTATCTAGTCAGGGGCACTGACCTCTTTTTCCATACATGGTCAGATAAAAAATGATAACAGCCAACACAATAATAGCCATCTGGTGTGGATGAATCAAAATTAGTTTTTTTTGTCAGATCATCAAAAAATGTATTTTCTGGTGTGCCCCAGAATTTTAGGAATCAGTTTATGGGTGCCACAAGATGAAAAAGGTTGACAATCGCTGGTCTAGGCTATCACCTAGCACACCGTACCTCAGGGACTGTGGAGAGAAGTGACAAAGGTGTGATAAAGTGCCTTGGTCCTGCCTTGGAGAAAGTACACTTAATAGGTAATTCACAAGTGGCTGATGAATAAAACTGCAGCTGGGCATGGATATCACTCAACATCTACTCTCTGAAGTCTTATTGGAAAAGAATTTTGAATTTTAGGACTTTGAAGGGGAAAATTTGGCTTTCCTAAGGACTGCCTCCTCCTTTCTGAGTGTAGTATATGTGTCAGTTGGCCTATTTCTTTTTGTTCCCTCCCTACCTGGAAACTCAAAGTGAAACTGATGATTCACTTCATTCCTATGCATAACCTTTGTGCATTTGCCCTTCTTCCCTGTTGCTGATTCCTGCCCTACATTTCTTGCATTTTTGGAGTTGTTCTTGCCTGTTTCCTCAAATATATATTATAGTTGATTTCACATTCTGAAGCTCAGAGGCATAACAATCTGAAAAAAAAAGATTAAAAGATCTTTGTATTTTTCTTCAATCATAAACCCTCTCTAGCTGGTAACTGTTTCCCTCTGTCTGGCTTGTGTTTGTAAGGACACACCTACAGGGCTCCAGAACAATCCCAAGGCTGCCAGATCCTACTTTTCCAGTTCTTCTGCACCACGCGGCCTCCAGGACCCAGGCCTCAAAGCACCTCCCAGCAAGTTCTTAGGATTCGGGCTCTGACCGCAACCAAGTGCAGCTTTACTGTGAGCACCATGACTTTGCATGTTTGCTTCTAGAAGTCAGAATAAATGTGTCCTCTTTGGGTGTCACACATCCAAGTTCATTGAGAAGATTTTTATTGATGGTACCAATTTTTTCCTGAGGGTGTTTAAACTTTTTTAATGCTGCGAAAATATTAAATATGTAAGAATTATCAGCAAGAATAACCAAAGAATGGTTCAAAATAAGGAAACCAAAGGCCAGGTCCAAAGTCACAGGATCAAGAAATGATAAAAAGAGGATTTTAATCTGATTTCAAAGAACATCCTCTTAAGCCCTAAAAAATGTGTACGTTTCGAAGATAAAAGTTTCATGCATCTTTTTGGAAAGTCTTTTGAAAATATTTAAGCTCGTTCTCCTGAGCTAGTAAACGAAAAGCTAACCTTTTTAAAATATATGTATATAATGACAAGGTTATCGCTGTGCCACAGAGGCTTTATTATTCTCATAGAAGAGCAGTGTCTGGGACAGAAGATTCCTGGAAAAGTCTAGTGCGGCCCTGTCACTGGCTCCATCACCCCTTTCACTGCACAGAGGTGGGTCCCTGGTGGCCATCACTGTGGTTCTCACCAGTTAGTGAGAATCACACCATTCTACCACCCGACCCTGCTGAACCAGGGAGCCTCCCAGAATTATTTACCATGCAAAGGAAGGGCATGATGACAAGGACAGCAGCACTCTCATCTGGAACAGAGGATCAACCTGCGTCTGCTACTGAGCTCTCCAGGGCTGACCTGAGTCCCGTCCTTCCCAAGCCCTTTACTCTGAAAACAACCCCAGTGCACTTTCAATAAATCTTTTGTTTGACTGTCTTCCTGTTTTTATGCAGCCACGATAGGTTTCCATGCAACACGAAGATCCTTTAATAATATAAATGGCTCAACAAAGAGTCAACAGCTACTAAATATTGAAAAATGCATATTACATTCTACAACAAATTCAGACAACCCACAGTCTGCACACTCCAGAGACTGGGCCAATTTCTTTTATTCCCCCAGCTTTATTGAGTTGAAGTGGACATAAAATAGTGTATAAATTTAAGGTATAAAAGTGATAATTTGGTATACGTATATATTGCAAAATTTTTACTACAATAAGATTAGTTAGCACAGCCATTATTCACATAGATGCCTTTTGGTGGGGGCAGGGGTGATGAGAGCTGTTAAGATCTACTCTCTTAGCAACTTTCAAGTGTGCAATACAGTATGGTTAACTATAGTCACCATGCTATACATTACATCCTCCAAATATATCTTGTATTGATCTTATAACTGCAAGTTTGCACCCTTTAACCACCTTCACCTATTCCCCCCACAAACAACTCTCTGCCCCAGGCAACCAAACACCAGTCTACTCTGTTTCAATGATTCCATTTTTTTTTTTAGATTCCACATGTAAGTGCAGTCATACAGTATTTGTCTTTTTCTGTCTGACTTATTTCACTTAAGGTAATGCCCTTAAGAGTCATCCATGTTGTCACATATGACAGGATTTTCTTCTTTTTTTTAATGCTGAATTATATTCCATTATGCATGTATGTGTCTGAGTGTGTCTGTTTTTTCTCCATGCATCCCTCAATGGACACTTAGGTTATTTTCGGGTCTTGGCTATGATAAACAACATCACAGTGAATGTGGAAGTGCTGATACCTCTTCCAGATAGTGACTGTTATTTCCTTTGGATACACACCCAAAAGTAGGATTACTGGATCATATGGCAGCTCTATTATTAACTTTTTTAGGAGCCGCCATGCTGTTTTCCATAATGCCTGTAGCAATTTACATTCCTATCAGCAGTACACAAGGGTTCTTTCCTTTTCTCCACATCCTCACCAGCACTTGTTATTATTGCTTGTCTTCCAATAACAGTCATTCTAACATGTGTGAAATGACATCTCACTGGGCTTCTGACTTGTGTTGTCCTGATAAATAGTGATGCTGAGCACATTTCCATTGGCTGTACATCTTCTGTGGAAAAATGTCTATTCAGGTCTTTTGGTCATTTTTTAAATCAGGATGTTTTATTTTGCTATTGAGCTACATGAGTTTCTTATGTATTTTGGATATTAATCCCTTATCAGATATATTATTTACAAATCATATAAAGAAGAGCTGGTCGACCTCAGCTCTTCTTAGAGACATAGGTAAAAGGAGGAAGGGAAAGAAGTTTCACAAAGTGCAACAATGCCAGTTGCAAAAAAAAAAAACCCTACGGGGGTCAAGAAATGGCAGGAAATCAATATCATCTTCATGGAAGGGGTGACAGTTAACGTTATCTTAGTCGGGAAGCAGCCAGGAAACATAAACGACTGTAATGCTGAGGACAGAGGGGAGGTAACATAGTGGTTCCCCCATATCTGGGGGGGATAAGTTCTAAGATCCTCAGTGGATGCCTGAAACCACGGAGAGTATCAAACCCTATATATGCTATGTTTTATCTTACACATACAAACCTATGATAAAGTTTTCTTTATAAATTAGGCCCAATCACCAGTAACAAAATAGAACAATTGAACAATATACTTGAATAAAAGCGATGTGAACATCTTTTGGTCTATTATTTAGTAAAATAAGGATTACTTGAACACAAGCACTTTGATAACACAACAGTCCATCTGACACCAGAGAGGGCCCCTAAGTGACTAATGGGTGGGTGACACATACGGTGCAGACACACTGGACAAAGGGACAATTTATGTCCTGGGCAGGATGGAGCAGGGCAGAGTGAGAGTGCAGGACTGAATGGTGTGCAATGTAAAACTTGTGAATTATTTATTTCCAGGATTTTTCAGTTAGTATTTTTGGACCATGGTTGACTGTGGGTAACTGAAAGTACACAAAGCAAAACAGTGAATGAGGGGACTAGTGTGCACAGAATTGACTCAACAGACAACAGAAGACCTAAAAAATCAAATAGCTGATGGTGAGGCAACCTAGCAACTGATAACAGGAGGAAGCCACTACCCACCTCAGGTGGAAAGAAAGAGAAAAGGGGTGGTGTAACTAGAGCCAGGGACGGGAGTCAGCTGGCAAAAGCCAGAACCAATGCACACCCATCCAGCAGGACCTGGAGGCTCAGATATGGCACAGGCACTTCCAGAGATTTCTGTCAAATAGAGAAGGAGAGGAAGCCAAACTCTGGCTTTCTTCCTCTTTTCCTACCACCTATCTTCTGCCTGGGACTCCCGGAGGCAGAACGGGGCCCAAGAGTCAGCTGACCTGGGAACCTAAGAAAGTCAACCTGCAGGGGGCCCTTCATGCCCCTGCCTTCCCTCCACATGGAACAGGGTAGGGGAAGGATGGGGAGTGGACTGGAGTGGACCAAAGGTCCCGAGACTGGCATTAGATCAGGTCTGAAAGCAGACTATAGCAGACATTCTGGGTGGGGAAAAACTTGATTTTTCATTGACACATAAAAGTGTTAACAGCAAAGAGATTTAGCTATTTTTTCAGTATGGCTGGGGCTAGAGACCATGTCAAGAAAGGGATGTGGAGGAGACTAGACATGGAGGCAAAGGCCAGTCCATGAAGGGCCCGGCATTCAACGCTAAGGAGCTCAAAATCTGTTTTGTAGGTGATCGTAATAACCAAACTTATGTTTTGAAAAGAAAATTCTGGCATCGTGGTAGATGGTACCTAGAGGGGAGAGGCTAGGTCAGGACCCATTTGCCAGAGGCTGACATGGTAAAAGCCTAATTTGGTGTAAGGGTCGGTGAGTGACCCTGCAGTAACTACAAACGTAACTACAAACATAATAGAAACTCGCTTTCTGGTGGTGTAGGCTCCAAACCAATGAGGTTTGTGAGGACCTGTGTTGTCAGACAATACTTTGAAAATTCTTTTCCATTTCAGGTTTTAAAATTTCTTTAGAAGTAGGCGGATAGAAGCACAAGGGATCTGGAAACTCCGTCAGAGGAACATCAGTTGCAGAAGGTGGAGATTTTTAACTTAGAGGTAGGCATCATTATGTCTTGGTGGAAATGTGAGTTACCCTTTATAAAGACAGGCTCTCTAGAGTTTATGACCCAAGGGAAAAATTATCTAGTTAAGACCCTTCTGAATAGAGCCCCCAGATATAACAATAAGACAAACTGAATCTATTCATCGCTTTATTCATTCTTTCCAGGAGTCACAACGTTTTAGGATGGAGCGAGCTTCAGCCAGGGAGGAGGAGACCACAATCCTCCTTCTATTCTCGCTTTGTCCTGCCGTCACACCAAATGTGATAGGGCGTCCTGAAAGGCAGAAGGACAGGAATACAAGTAAGAGCAGCTTATATGTAATTAGCACGTTTCCAAAAATAGTCACCCTCCTACTTAGCCACCATTCTGCTGAGGGGAAAACAAAGGCTTGGAGGGTTAAGTCCGATCCAGAATCCCAGAGCTGGGAAATGGCAGAGTCACAGCTAGAACACAGGTCTGTCATTCAAATACTCCTACTAGAAATGTAGACATTGTGCTTTCCTTAAGAGTCTGGAGCACGCAGACCTTATATGAGCAGTCAGTCAGGGGGAAATACACATTCATGAGTGAGAAAAGGGAGAGGGGGAGTGTAGTGGGCAGCGCAGGCATTCAGGGACGCTGACCCCTACCCTTTCGCCAACTTCCCCACAGGCTGTAGTTACCAGCAGTTTCTTCACGGCCTCAGCGGCCTCTGGGGTCAGCCCATTCACACTCTGTCTTAGCCCTTCCACAAGGTGCTCAACAGAAATGCCCAGAGTTTTCAGAAGCAGCTTGAAGGGATCCAGGGTGAGGATGGTGTCCAGAGGTAAAGGTAAGGCATCCTTGACAGGAAGTGGCACCTTGTTGATGAGGAAGGCCGTAGCTGCAGAGCAAAAGGGGAATCAAGTGAAACGGCAACATCCACTCCTGTCTGTGAGCTCATCACCTTCCACTCTGTCCACGAACAGCTCTATTCCAGCCACAGTCATCTTGGGCCTTTGCACCTGCTGTCCCATCTCTCTAGAACTTTCTTTCTTCAGATAGCTACATGTTTTTCTTCTGCACATTACTTGGTTTCTCCTCCAATGCTGCATTCTCAGAGAGTACCTAAAACGGTACTCCTGTCACCCTCTGTCTTTGTTTTTTCTTACCATTACCTTGAATATTAATTTGTTTGCCTTCATCCTCTCACTAGAATGTAGGCTCCATGAGAATGAGGAACTTGGGTTTCATTCACGAATGTACCCCATGCCTAGTGCAGTCTACTGCGCCTTGCCACACAGTAAGCACTCAGGAGACACTATGACTGACTGTACAGGGAGGCGCTTTGCACATGGCTGTCTCTACAGCCCACACGGTCAAAACAAAGGTAGAGATGCCTTAAGGAATCTCCACCTGGGGACAGGGATGGGCCCAGGCACAGCCCAGGAACTGTTCCCAACCAATTTAACTCAATGCCACAAAAATAATTGAGCACTGATTCTGTACCAGTTGGTGTAGCAACCCAGAAGAGTAAGACAAGAATACTCCATTCAGGGAACTCACAGTCTGGTGGACAATAAAGACCTGTGTATGCCACGGATCGGCCTAGGCTGGGCTAACACTGTGGACAAAGCTCTGTGGAAACACAGAAGAAGGGATGACTAATTCTAACGTGGGAGAGTGATACAGGGATCTTTCCAGAAGCTAGAGTGCTGTCTTGGGGTAAATGTCAGGATCACAAGGTGAAGAAGGGAACAGCATTTGAAAGAGAACAAAATTAATAAAGGCACTGAGATATTAAGAGAAAAGTGCATACGCAGTATGGGGAGTCTTCTGTCCAGAATGGTTGGAGCTCAGAATTCCACTGGGGTGTGCTAAGGAGGGATAAAGGAAGTAAAGCTGCAAAATTCAGGGGAGGTCAGATTTTTCAAAACCTCAAATGGCATACTAATGAGTTTGAGGTGTTTTTATTTTTCCTGAGGGCAATGGAGAGCTAGTCAAGGCTTTTATATGGCAAAACTGCATTTTATATCTTCAGTTTTAGAAAGGTAACTTTCACATAGAAAATGAATAAGCATACAATATAAAAATGGAAAAATATGTAGGACATATAAACATGTGACTACAGATATGTAAACATGCATGTGCATGATCATACATATAAAAATACATATCCTCCTGCCAGCCAAGATGTCACCATAGTTCATTTTCCTTTGGAATCTTTTTCATTTATCATTCAGACCATGCAAGGTGAGCCTGTTCACCTGTCTCATCTTCATCTGCTACCACCAGTTTTCCCTCCAAAGTTCTCTTCTGGGGGGGTGGGATCGATTTCCCTCTACTGAGCTTTCAGTAGCCACCTCTGCCAACAGCTATTTGTCCCTGGACAGTAGAGAACAACAAAATAACTGAACTGGATGAAGTTACAAATTTTTCAAAAATCCTATACAAATACAAGACCAGGTAGCCGAGGTGGGTGTAGGCAGCACCTAGTTTCTCGTAATTCATCTCCTTATATTGAGCACTTCGGTGACTGTCTTCTCCGTGTGCACTTACAATTTCTGGGGAAAAAATCTGCAAAGCTTTCTGTGCTCTGAATGAGCAGTGACCCAGATGCAACCAAATATCTTTCTGGTGGTTAAACAACTCTCTCCAAAAAGCACTGGTCATTGTTTTCCAAGAAGTCAGCTCCTGTAACAGTTTGCCCCTCAGTTCTTGTGCAGAGCTCTAGAGGAGTACCGTTGTGCTGGCTTCTGCAGAAGTCTTAGCTCCCTGCCACACTATAGGCACCCTGGGAACACTATTTATGTCTGATTCATGTCTGAATCTTCTGGTGCTTATCCAATGCCCTACGGGTTGTAGCCATTCAAGAAATGGCCACTGAGTATGTGAACACATAAATGTAGCTATGCCTCAGGAGAACCAATCTGGAAACCTGACTGATTAGAGATGGCAGCAAGAATGATGCCCCCTAGTTTCAGAGGCATAAAAGAATGAAGTTGCAAAGTCAGGTTTTGACTAAAGATTAAGGAAGACAAGGAAAACGAGGGTGAATGATGTCCAACAACTAACCTTTGTTTACCCTCACTGGGAGATGGCTAACTTCTTATGTGGGATGAACTAGGGTTGTTGGGTTAGAGCTCAGATTGGGGGTGGTCAGTGAGGTACATCTGAAATCCCTTCCAACCTTACCATCCTGTGGTTCCCAAACTCCCTCTACCAGATTCCACTGGGAGCCTACACTTACTGGTTGCATTCCTATTGTCAGAAAAGTAGAGAAATATACGTTCCAAGCTACTCACCAGAGTAACTGCATATGCCAATGGTCACCAGCAGGAGCACAGCGACCAGCTTCATGACAGGTTATTATCTGTGATATCTGCCAGGAGTTTTAAAAGGGAATCCACCGAGCCAGGGGTCCTGCTTGTGGCACCAAGTGTAACTAACAGCTGCTTTCGTGCCCACACATATTTATACATATTTATACACCCCCCAAGGCCACCACAGCAAAGAAGAGCATGAAGGTCATGTTTCCTCACTAAACAAATTGGAGGATTTTCCGCTTTCCCTCAGGTTCCCACAAGAAACAAAGCCCTGACTTCAAGCATTGTCAAGGGCTCTTGCTCAAGCCCTTGCACAGAGACCATGGAGACACCAGGGGGAGACGAAGAGCTCTAAGGATCCTTCACTATTCTTCAAGGCTTAAAGAATATTGAAAATGAAGGGAAGGTTTTACACTGGGATTCGAAGGAGTGAAAGTTCTGTTGAATTCCTCCAGCTTTCCATTTCTTTCAAGTTGGGAGACTCACACTACCAGATGAGCTGTCAATCCAGTTGTGGAAGAATCTGGAGGTCCCATTGGCTCTGGTATAATACAGACCCCGCTGCATGGCATGTAGTCCCATACTTCTCTAGAATTACCTCCTCCCATCCCAGCCCGGCTCACTCATCTACCATGGCAAGGTCCTTCATCTTTTCCAGTGCTTCAGGGCATGCCTTCTCTGGGCCCTCATGTAGCAGAATAGGCTCAGGATCTAAAATCAAAATGTCTGTTTTAAAAATCTGAGATTCTATTTTTACTCTTTGTGTAATCTTGGATTAGACATTTTTTAACTATAGTATCGGTCTCCTCATCTATGATGGGGACACTAAGAGCAGGACAGTCCCAAAGATGTGACACTAAGAAAATATTTTTTTTTGCAAGACTCTGTCTAGATAAACAAGTAGAGTCACCAAAATATTTGCTTTAAACCGCCTGGCAGTTCAGCTGCAATCGTGTGAAAGAAATGCTGCGCTGGCCACAGAAACAATCTGCCAGATAGGCCAGGGGGACTGAGGATGACCCTATGTGTGAGCCCAAGCCCCAGAGTTCCCTGGGGAACCTGGTGCCTCACATGCAAGGAAGAGAGGGCAAAAAACCTGGAAGGAGAGAAGCAGGGATCAAGACTCCCTGGATGAATGGCACGCTGGCCTCACCGCCAAAGAGGGACTGTGCACACTCTGAGGAACGTTATGCCAAGGCACAGCCCCTGTGAGACGCAAAGTTAGGAGCGGGGGCCCAGCCTGAGGTTGTGGTATTGGTATGAGGATTTAATAAAACTCTGTTGACAAACGATGTAACTGAATGAAACCAAGATGAACACTTAATAAGTGTCGCTCGTTATTAATTCCTATACGTAACTTAGATGTCACGGCCACCTCTTTCTTTTTCTGCCACTTTGTAAACTGCACAAAGGAGACTGTGTGTTACTGACACTCATACTCCGTCCTCCCCCTCCTTCCATTTTTCCTGGGCATTACCACCTTGCCAGGGGTGCAGATGTGCCAAAAACACTCAAAGAGCAAGGTTGCGTGGCAAGTTGAGTCTATGCCATCTTTTATTTTTATGTTATAATCTTTTCATGGGACACTAACCAGCCCTGCCCTCATCTGTTCTTGACATTTGCAAGTTTGCTTTCAAATCCTTTCCCTACTCTTCCCCTCTCATGCTCTGCCCTATACAGGAAGCTGAGCATGTCACACAGTGGTGCCCAGACTGCTTTGCCAACTGTGTCTGGTTAGGGTTGGATAATGGAGGATAATTGGCTAATTGGCTAATTGGAAGGAGCCGGTAGATTAGAGGTGAGAGAATGGGGAAAGCCAGGCTATTTCTTCCTCCTTCTGCTTCAAGAGACATGTTGGGCAGTGACCGCATCTTCTCGATGGCTTCAGAGGCTTCCAAAAAAGTCCTCTGTCCGTGGTTCCACCCAAGCCAGGCAGATCAGCCACTGTTCGAGCTTCTGTTGGGTTGCTCCCACTCCAGGCCCAGCTCCTCACTCTGTCCCTCCTAGCCAAGAAGAGTAGCAGCTTCCAGCATTTTGTAACCTCAGGGTTGACTTACCTCCCCTACTACCACCAACTGCATTTCTATCACATTGTAAATTATTCTCCAAGTTAAATTCTTCCTGTTTGATCAGCATGTGGTTTTGATTGCCTGGCTGGGTTCTGGCTAATATAGCATCCTAAAACACTGTAGCCCTTCCAGTAAAAGCAGATCTTTCCTTTTGAAACTCTCATAAGCTCCAAGTTATGAATCCATGAGGGGCACAGCCAAGACCCATCCCAGAGAAACACAGCATCACACACACAAAGACATGTGTCTCCCTTCCAGCCTCTTAAGTGCTTGCTACTGTCTCGAGCGTGTCTGCTGGTCCCAGAGGTGAGCTCTTTCCCAAGAAACTCCTTGGACCCCTTTGGTAATAATACATTTCTGATGGGCCTATCAAGTGGTCTGCCAGACGTGCCTTTGGTTTCTTGACCGAAACCAACTAGTAGACATGAATGGCTACACTAAAGACGGGAACCTGCTACACACACACACACACACACACACACACACACAGGCATAAGGCACTGCTGTTTTCACTCATGTGTTCAACAAGTATTTACTGAGCATCTACTGTGTACCAGGCACTGTATCAGGGACTAGGACTGGAGGAGTAAACCAGACAAGCAACTTTCATGCCTCCATGGAGCTGACAATGTAATGGGATAAACAGACAATAGACAGGTAAACAAACAAGGAAAAGGACTAGTGGTCAGTGTTATGAAGAGGCAAATAGGGTGCTATGCCAGAGAACAAGTGGATGGGGAGTCCAGTCGGACTTAAAAAGAGACTTGGACATGGCTGCTTCTGGGGTCCCTATGATCTGAGCCATTGTACTAATCATGTCTTTTTATTCTGTATTTTTTGTGGCCTTCACACCATGGGGCCTAGCTGGACTAGCTAATTTCTAGAGACAGCAAACAATGCACCTGGGAGTGCACCTTCCATATGCAAACCCACCAATCCAAAGCCCACACAGCCAACCCCTTCCTTTATAGAGCTCTAACACCCTAGGCCACTCATCATCCCAGGGCCAGGTGCCAGACAACCAGGGACAGACCCTACACTCTGAGCCCCCTGAAATTATTCAAACTAGCCTATCTTCAACCTGCTTACCCTGGCTCCCCCATCCCTTCCCATGGGAACCACAAAAAAGGCTTTGCCCACTTCCTGCCATTCCTCCAGACAAACCTGGTGCTTCCCATGTGGCATGTCCCCTTTTCGTGGGATCTGTTATTTTAACAAGTTTTTAATGGCAGTCATATCCAGATCTGTTAGCATGAATAATAATAACTTATATTTTATTTTATTTTTAAATTTTTATTTCTTTTTAGAGAGGGAAGGGAGAGAGAAAGAGAGAGAGAGAAAAACATCAATGTGTGGTTGCTGGGGGCTGTGGCCTGCAACCCAGGCATGTGCCCTGACTGGGAATCGAACCTGCAACACTTTGGTTTGCAGCCCACACTCAATCCACTGAGCTACGCCAGCCAGAGCTTAAAAACTTATATTTTAAAACAGCCATATAGCCTTTTCCTATACTGGTATTTTACTCTTTTCATCATAATTATTTAAACCAATATCTTCTTTCCTGAGACCAATTTGTAAACATCTTGAGGGGGTTTGCCTTTTCATGTTTGGATCCTACACACTTGCTAATATTATTAGGGACCACTAATTAGTGCCAGGCATCACACTTTGCTTATGGTATCCACTTCATTCTCACAAAGCCACTGATGATAAGAGCTTTTATCCCATCTTATAAATGATAATCCGAAGCTGGAAGCAATGAATTAATTGCCGAGGTCACTTAGACAATAAATAATGGGGTCAAATTTGAGTCCTTTCTTTTCTGATTTGTATTTCTTTACCTTTAAACACTTAATTAATATGTATTTCCAGCAAGCATTTGTAAAATAATTTATGAAAAGAAATGAAAGGAAAAATAAATTAATGTCAGTGTTATTAAATTAATTTTGGATGTGCTTTTTGAATGGGTTTCTTGGGGAGATTAAATTTATAATTGGGAGTGGAAATTCAATTAGCCATTCAACAACTATTTGCTGAGTACGTCTGGTGCATCTGGCTGTGTGGCGATTCTGGGAACACAGCAACACAAAATCAGGTACAAATCTTGCCTCATTTTAATTACATTAAAGAAAACGATTAGAAGTCAGTAAGTCCTTTTTTTCCTCTGTAAGAGAAATGACAATTATAAAGAGGTCTCTTGAATGCTGATGCAAGACAGTGATGAAGGAAAAGGCAAGAATCAGCCTGAGATTTCATCTAACACCCCACCTTCCAGCTGAAAGGACACAGTCATCAGAAACATCACACTAGTCTGGTCTCTTCTCTACTTGCTGCAAATTGAATGGTCAAAAGAGACCTAAACATAAGCCTATATACAAGGGACAAAATAGTCTTAAAATTTGTCTTTAAGAACACAAGCATATAACATATGATCAAATGTCAAAGCTCAGTATATCAACCTCATAAAGTGTAGATAAAAGCAAAAGTATCTGTTCCTGGGCCCTTTCCATACTGATCACTTCCTATTTAGTGAAAGCAAATCAGTCCATTGTCATTTGCAGCTAACTTTTAGCCCCTTTTCTAGGCACTGCAGAGAAATCCAAAGGGCACGTGAGCATAGGAGAACTTAACACAGAAAATGACTGAGACCCAATCAAAGCAAAATCTAGGGAACATCAGAGGGAGATAAGTGGTCCGTCCAGGCTTGATTTTTCAATGAAGACTTCACGAATTCAAGTGGATATTGAATTTAAAATCTAAATAGGCAGAGAGGGTGAAAAATAAAACTAGAACTTGCCATGTTTTATTTTGGAAAATAAATTGAGACGATGACATGGGCTGAAGAGAAAGGTGTGTGGACAGTGTGCCTTTCATCTGCCTGTGCCCAGCACTGTTCCTTGTGATCACAGTGGATGTCACACAAGTGTTTAAGTTTATCGTCAAACAATCAATACGTTGTGTCAGATGAGTTGGATGGGAAGGAATGACTATAAAAACTAAAGTCTGTCTGAGTTCGGTCTGGCGAGACTTGATCA